ATAATGACATCTTCAAAGCAACCCAACACACACACATACACACACACACATACACACACACACACACACACACACACAAACACCACACACACCACATATATACATCATAATTAACATAAATATACAATATATTATATATCACATCTGCCAAAAACAAAAATATATAATCATAAAAAAACAACATAACAAACAAAAAAAATAAATAAAAACAACTCACAAACACAAAACAATGAAATCTACCATGAACAGATACAATCATCATCTCATATCACGAAAGAAACAAACAAAATGTTATTATCAATGAAACTTCCTCAGTACTATATTTCCTCCTCTCCTTCCTCTTCATCCCTCTCCTATCCTTTTTTTCTTAATTTCTATCCTCCTCTTTCCTCCTAATTCTTCCTCTCCTCCTCTTATCCTTTCCTCCTCCTTCCTCTCCTCTCTTCCTCTCCTCCTTACCTTTTTATTTGGTGTTCTTTATACAGAGGGTGTATCATTTAAAAGAAGGCTACCCATGATTCCGAATCTTTTGGAGTTTTTTAGAATTAAGGAGCATCTGGTGCTTGCGTGTCTAATCTAGCACTAGCTCGTTTGGTAACTCGAAATGCATTGTGAGAGTTCGTACGAGTAATATTGTTGTACATAGGACCAAAATAAGAGAAATATCGTTTTGTAATACAGTATGTAAACAATGTGGCACACACACACACACACACACACACACACACACACACACACATACATACATACATACATACATACATACATACATACACACACACACACACACACACACACACCACACACACACACACACACACACACACACACACACACGCACGCACATACACATATACCCATCTCATACTCGGTAGCATCACCTGGCACATTCGGTTCCCTGCCACGAAATATGGCGATATATTTCCGATATATTTCCACAGGAGGCGAAAGTACAACTGAATTGGAGGTATATGATGATTTGTCGTTTTACATATTATGGTTACTGTATGATACGTATATATATAATATAACCATTGATGCGCAAACCCGAGAATATATCATTGCTGATAACTGTTATCAGTATCATCCAGTATGACCCCCAACATGAGTGTTATTTCAAGACGTTTAGATATTCATCGATAGATTTTGAATATAACAATTTTGCTGATGTTTGTATTTCTTCCCGAGAGTTTTCATTACAGTTACAATTGATGGATTTCATATGTCTAATAATATATCGATCGATCCCAAATTTTACGTACCCTGTCAAACCATGATAATTGTTCCTTTATGGCTGATACAATTGTAGTTAAATCTAGAAACTCAGTATATGATAATATTTGATATTTGTTATGAAAATGGGACATTTGTTGTGGTACTGGATAAACTAGACTTAACTCCACCTTCACAACAACTCTTCTTCCAAGTTCCGACTGAGAACTAACACGTGCGTTTCATTCAGAGTTTTGAAGCAGAAACTACAGATGTCAACGTTAATGAGTTCGTGTTTCTTAATATATAGTCTGTGTTCTTTTACATAGGATTAACCCTTTCATTTATCTCTTTGTTTTTTTTTCTATTTCATTCACCTTTTTTTCGCATATCCTTGCACTAATTTTTAAATGGTTTCATATCGTTTATTCCTGTAAAGTCCAGCTTGCAGCTAGTTATGCCATGATTGGTTGTTGCAATCCATGGCAGCGGGTGGTTAAGAATAACTTCCTTGAGATTTTGATTTCCGTACGGGTATATTTTTCTTTACTCAGTTGCAAGATATTGAAGATCTCGATTATCACATAACCAGCTGATTACAAACAAGGCGAATCTGCAGGAAATTTCGACTCAGAACAGAGCAATTGCTAATTTCATTTAGCCTGAACTACCATTCCATGCTCCGACAGGACTGAGATCCATGGTTCATTAGGGAGAAGATGAGAGAAAACGGCTTATTTTTTGTGCAGATAACTTCGAGAAGCAGAGTAATTTCTTTTTCGTTGAGTGACGTTGCCAGATGTGTATTTCGTTACCGTTTATTTCATCTGGATATTTACTGCTATCCTAATCACACAGAAGAAAAATCGACTTAGCGTTCCAAACTACCCAGTGATATCATATTTTTGTATATTCTTATATAATCTATAGAATCACTAAAAATGGTAGAATGTAGGTCATAAAAATTGTACATGATGAAATATATGTATATATATATTATGTTTGACATAAGAGATACACCCGTAGTCTTACCTCAGCCTACTGTAATTATTATTAACATTATTATTTAATATCCGTTCCCATTATTACCATAAAAATAATTTTTGCTGCTAGATAATACGAGTTAGATAAAAACATTAATTTTCATCCGGCTCTGAGTAGAGCGGGAGCCTCCCTTCACCTCTCATTTTTCCTTCCGTTATTACCTGTTCAGCTGAGATCTAATTCTTCCATGAATCCAGTACCGTTTTTGAACACACCTGTTGCGTCTCCTTTTACTGGATAACTT